TGTGCTTCCTTGCTTTTATAGCCAAAGCAAACCTGAAGAGCTTTATCATCAGGGTAATTTTTAAAGCAGCAAGTAAAAATTTTTAAAGCAGAACCAGAGGAGACACTCTCAAACTGCACCAAGGGAAATACAGGTTGGATATCAGGAAAAAGTTTTTCCCAGAAAGGGTGATAAAGTTGTGGAATGGCTGCCCGGGGAGGTGGTGCAGTCCCCATCCCTGGGTGTGTTTAACAAAGCCTGGATGTGGCACTGGGGGCCAGGGTTCAGTTGAGCTGTTGGGGCTGGGTTGGACTCGATGATCTTGAAGGTCTCTTCCAACCTGGTCATTCTGGGAATTCTGTGAAGTACATTCAAACTCCTGAAACAGAGGATTCCACAGGAGATGAACTATTTCTGGTATTTTCCCCATTTTGTTCCATCAGTTACCATAAACCTTCGCCTGTCCCTCATGAATCCCCCCCACAGGCTGCACATTTTAACTCATTATTGGGCCACAGTACAGGTGTTTGGAGCCACGTGCTTTGATGGGAAAATGGACACACCTTTAGTGAAATTGAGGTCAGAGCTGTGCCAGGGAGCAGCAGGGCTGGAGATCACACCCCACAGCACCACTGAGGCAGGACCTGGGAGCAAAGGGAGCCACGGGCAGGTGGGGATTGGGAAGGACAGGGCACATCTACGTGTTTTCATTTTTGCTGCATTTCAAATCACTGTAAGTGCCCTTCACATGGATTTCCACTGTGACTTGAGGCAGCCTCAGCCCTTTATTTTTTGAGGGCTGGATAACGGGGCACAGGGTGTGTCTCCCCTTCCCACCATGTGCAGAATGGCTGCACCACTCAGTGTCTCCCTAATCACAGAAATCAAATTAAAAAAAACAGGGAGTCTGGAAAAACTCTGATTTCTAAATGTTTTATGCAGCCTAAGTGATTTTTTTTTTTTTTTTTAGGCAGAGAAAGAAAAGGCACCTCCAAAAGTTTTTTAGCCACTCTACAAGCCACGTGTAAATATTCACTATTTCAAAGAAAAAATACCACACAAGAGCATATTTGCTCCAAACCCCAGACACCTGACTTCAATGAAGAAAACTTCATTTAGTCAAGGAGCAACTACCTTGAATTCAGTTGTATTTTCTGCAACTGAACAAATCCTCCTCAGATACTCAAATTATTCTCGGTCTGGGTGCATCAGGCAGCCTCAGGGAAGCTCTCAATGTGCAAAATAGCTAAAGCTGCCTGCTGGAAGGATTTCTTTTAATTTAGAGCCCAATCAATCAAACTTTCTGAAAAAATCATGCTGACATTATTAGAGTCAGAAATCTACTCTCAGTTAGAAATTTCAGTTACCTTAATAAACTGTCTTTGCTGCAACACCATAAAAAACAGCTGAAAAAGTAGATTTTGGTCTTTTCAGGGTGTCATGTAGTTTGTAAAGGGATTTAAAAAGAATTCTTGGAGAGTTAAACTCTGCAAAAGACAACAGGGGCTAGGAAGAGGAGAAAGCAGCTGATGTAATTTAATTGTCTCTCGCAGCTGCCCTTGGGGAGTGGTTTAAAACTCACTCAGGAGAGGTTTGGGAGCCCTGCCTGGCTTTGTGGCTGCACACATCCAGCTCCAGGAGGTGGCAGTGGCTCCACACAGAACACACAGCACAGCTAAACACGGCTTGGGACATTTTTGCTGCTTTCTCAGGCTTTCTAAAAAGCAAAATATCCCTGTCTGAAGCATTCCCCGACTCATAAACACACCCACACCAACTCAGGTGTGTCACCAAAAAGGGATCAGGGTTTGTTTCACAGCCCAAATCAAATATTTCTCCGATAAATTTTAGCACTCCTCAGGATTATTAACCATTTGTTTTATAAAGCCTCACATGAAATATCCAAACTGACACAAAGTAAATGTACAAACTCACAACAGCTGTAATTGCCACTTGCATTTTACAGAGGCACATCATACATTTGGTATACAAATTCTCATTACTGTGCTCAGCAACAAACACAGGAACAGAGGTTACTTTTACAAGTAAAGCTGATAAGAAAGTCAGAATAGACAAAATTATTCCTTACAACAACCATATGACATTGTGACAGATGGGTTGAATGCCTAATTAATAAATAACTTATTAGAATCATATTTATAGAAGCCTGGACAATTAACCTCTGCTCTAATAGAACTAAAGATGAAGCATCTAAAATCAGCAAAGAGATTTCCTGGAGTCAAATGTTTCCTGACCTAAATAATTACCCAAGAGCAGAGCAAACTGAGGGACTGGAATAGTGGATTTTAAAAAGCTGAATAGATACTGGAACTGAGAGAGTGAATGCATGGCTGTGTTCTCCAAGCCTGATGCAGGTTCTCCTGGGAATGCTCCTGTCTTGACCCACCTCATGCTCCTCCTGTGCCTTTGCTTTGCTTTTGGAGAGGTTGAGGTGGAGTCCAGCTCGGCCCTGAAGAAAGAGGAAGGTCACCCAAAGAATGGTGCAAGCAAAGCTCTGGCTCTCTCTGCTTCACCAGCCCTCAGGCTGGGTGTGCGTCCTGATCCATCCCTGAACCAAAGGTGGAATATTTACCTGCCATTGTCAGCAATCTCACTCTGGCTCTGATTATGATCTGAGCTGTCATCTCTAATCTTGTAAAAATTGGTTTTGGAGATCTGTAGGATAAGGAAATCCATCTGACTGTCAGCAAGGATCTCTCTTTGAGGAGTTCCATTGAAATACGAGACCATACAATAGCATTTTTTCTCCTAACGCTGCAAGAAGGAATGGTTGTGACATTGCATAACCACGTGCTTGTCTTTGTTGAAGGGCCTCAGCAACTTTCTCAAGGGCTTCTTGGGCCTCAGCTGTGAGGGTTCTGGGAGATTTAGTGTTGCAGTCTCCTCTCAATAAATTGAAAATTGGTGCAAGTTCATCATTGGTGATCCCCAAAATTGGCCTGATCCACTTGATTTCTCCTAAAAGCCACTGTAAATCCTGGAAATTGCTGATATTGGCTCTGAGTTGTACATTCTGCGGCCTAATTGTTTCGCGATTCTCCACCCAAGTATTTCCAAGGAGATATTCCTTGGACTTTTGATGTAGAGACTTCCAGTCCTGCATTTTGAACTTCTGCAATCACGCTGTCAGGAGGCTCTTGCATTTCTTTGCGTGTTGGGGCTGCAATGAGCAGATCATCCATTCTTCAGTTCTGTCACTTCACCGGGTGTGGTGACAACGAGCTGAGAAATGCTGGGGGGGGACTGAGACTTCAGTCCTCAAAGGCAGGTCCTCAAAAAGCACAAAATTACCCTTTATTTGGATGTATAAGTCATTCTGGGCACAAGGTAGCTCAGCTGGCACCTGGCATTGGGGTTGCTTTGATTAATTCCTTCCCACATCTTCTGCCTAATATTTGGCTGCTCCATATTTTCCTTTGGACAAGAAAAGGTTTGGGATCTTCTGGCCTAATTTAATCTCTGTTCAACAGGCTTAGAAGAAAAAACAAATCAAGCTTTGTGTCACTTGTTTGTGTCACTGAAGAGCCTTTGAGTTTCCTTAAAGCAGATTACTGTTCTATAGGTAAGTGCTTTTCAGGATTCTGTGCTTAATTTCCATTAGATTGTCTCAAGACATCTCAAAACCAGTAGTAAAATATCAGAAATCATTACGGCAAGGCATGGCCAGCAAACAACCCTTTCAAATGATGGTTAGGAATCGTGGGCTTGGAAACTGGAAATTTTGGTAAATGTTAACAAAGATAGGACAAACATTCTGGGCCTGGGAGGAGTTAATGTTTTAGGGGGATTTTTTGGTTTTGGGTTTTTTTGGTTGTTTTTTATTTTTTTTTGTTTTGGTTGGTTGGTTTTTGTTGTTGTTTTTGTGGGTTTGGGGTTTTTTGTTGTGTTTTTCTTTTGTTTTTTTCTTTTTTTTTTTTTTTTTTTTTTTTTTTTTTTTTTTTTTTTTTTTCCTCTGGCCCAAAATCTGGGCCTCGGTGTTGTTGGGATCACTTGCAACAGAAGTTTCACTGCATGAGTTCAGCGTTTTGCCCCTGGTGTCTTCCTTCTGTTTAAGCACTCAGGCTGGAATGTGCCAGTATAAGTCCTTGTTTTGATGTCTTGAGTAGGGACAAGTGATGTGTGAGGACAACTTTCTGCCCCTTTGCTGAAGGATAACTTTTACACTGCTTAATTTTGTTTATTTGCAGCTTGCACATGAACAGTTTTTTTTTGCTAATCTGTCTATTCACTCTAGCTCAAAGTCTGGCTTTTCACAACAAAACAAGGGTGTTTTATGCTTCAGGAGAGAGAGAGCAGAGAGAGAGGTTGTGATGCAGATCTGTGCCAGGTGAGAAAAGCAGCTCCCGTTCAGGACAGGGAATTTACAGAAGGCTCCTTGTGGGAAATAGAAAGACAGAAACTTCCACAGAGCCAGGAGGGTTTGATCTGCAGCCTTGGAAGGAGCTTGGATTGATGTAAAAATAAAGTACAGAGACATTAAGTAGAAAAATCATAAACTTATGTCTCTGTAGCTGTAAATAAGAATATGCCTTAAGTAAGTAAAAAACTATATTGATAAGATGGTGAAGGTTTTATAATGTAGGAGTGTGGTTGTATAGGATAAACTAAGAGTTTAGAAATTATAATAGAAGCTGATGTGTGTAAGTGTGACAGAAGCCCATTGGATGAAGGTATCTGCAGTGCAGCAAAATTAAGTAAAGGTGATAGGTCAGAAAAGCAAAATAAACCGTCTATTGGATTAGAAAATTCTATATTGCCTTGTAACAAAGAAATTATGACTACTCTGAGCTAGGGCCTACTGCTTGCTCCTCTAAAATCTCACAGCCTCTGAGACTGATGTTTATCTGAGCAATAAATTGTTCTTAGCCCAAAAATAGCCCCATCCCTTCATTTATTAGGGGTGATAGCTCCTAACACTATGGAAAGCCACAAAGGACCCAGCTGGCCACCTCATGGGTGGAACATTGCAGTGTGACAGCAGCTGGTGCTGCTGGAAGCCCTCAGACAGTGGTGACACCATCCTGGAGCACAGAGGTTCTCCTTTTGGGGCTGATTTTGTCCAGCAGGGAGAGCTGAGTGACGTAGTTGACTGGGCTGGTTTCTCTGGACAAAGCCCCGTGCTTGTGGGTGAAGGTCAGGTACTCCTGGTACTGCCACTTGCACAGTTGTTTCTTCAGCTCAGTTTGAACCTACAGGAAGTTACAAAAAAAGAGAAAATTAAGGCTTAATGAACACTGGAGGTAAAACATGCCCAAAGGTCTGCCTGAGTACTTAGCCCAGATAAGCCAGGATTAAGCCTTAACACATTTTTAGAGGAACTTGATCTCTGTCCTTATTCCTTTTGGAAAAAAAAAAAAAAAAAAAACAACCAAATTTAATTTCAAAAAATCAGGGGATGGCATGCAGAAGTACATTTGGCCACCAGGGCAGGTCACTGGCAATATTTATCACTTTGGTGGCACCTATTCTGCCTTAATTTTCCCTGTTAACCACAAGACACGCTGACAACCCCTGAGTACAATTCATGGGTGGCTCTCTGGATCTTCCAAGAATCAAATAAAATAAGAGGTCATCAAAAGTCATCTATTTCAGAAATGTAAGTTGAAAGTTTTGTTTGGGTGCAATCCCACAGTATGTCTTCTGAAAATTATAATTTCTACCCTGTATTTTTGATATGATTTATAGTCAGGTTATAAGGTATCAAAGTGGATTTCAGAACAGAAAATGCTGAGAGTGGCTTGTGTTCATGGTGAAAGGCTTTTTGGAACCAGTTCTGTTCCAAACAGAAAAGGAAAAAGGAAAAAGGAAAAAGGCTGCTCAGAAGTAAAGCAATATGAATGGTCTGGTTTTGGGATCAAATGCTGGTCCTGTTGAAGTAGAAATGGAGACTAAAGGCTGTGACAGTTATAGGAATCCATCAAAGAATTTGTAAACATTTTCAAAGATATGAAAACAAAAACCTTGAAGGTGGAAGTATTTACTGTATAATTATTGAACATTCATGAAATGTTGATCTGCTGTGGCGTGTTGTGTGCAGATACTGACAATGTATGAACGTTGTGAGTTTATAGCTAGTAAGTGGTGAAAGAATACAGTTCCAGTTGCATCATTTCCTCCACCAATGCAGCATCCCAGCTCTATCCCAGCAAACCCAAAGCCCTCCAGCACTCCTCAGTTTCATCCATACTCATAACACCTGGCCTGGCAGCAGCACAGTCTCTCACATTGTCACAGACACTCAAAGCTAAAGAAACACACACACAGAGAAAATAATAATCAATTTTTATGCTTGCAAGGAACCACAACACATGCACTGCCAAGTGGTCATGAGTGGCCAAGCTGCTCCAGGAGCAGTTATCCCTAAGAAACGTGGAAAAAAGCCAACCCAGCTTCATCTTGGGGCCAGAGATCAGGCTCTGCCTGTCCTGTTTTTAACACCTACTGGATTTCTGTGTTGTGGGGTGCAATATGCAAGCCATTAAAAGGCTGTTGAAGCAATTAAAAGGCTGCTGGCAAGGAGTCTGTGATACAGAAGGCAGGTTGCAAGGAGAGCTTTCTGTATTCACAGCTGAGTCTTGAAGGCAGTCTCTCAGCATGGCCATTATAAATTGTTTTGCTAAGAAACAAATGTATTTTAGGAATTACTCATCCTTGGGTAGGGTTACTTGCACCTTGCACCTCCTTTTAGCCATTCCTGTGAGGTGCTGGAGTGTGTCCAGTGAGGGGCAATGGAGGGATTGGAGAGTAAATCCCATGAGGAGCAGCTGAGGGGCTCAGCCTGGAGAAAAGGAGGCTCAGGGGGGACCTTCTTGGTCTCCACGACTCCCTGAGATGAAGTTGTGGGTGGGAATTGGCCTCTTCTCCCAGAGAACAGGGACAGGAGAAGAGGGAACAGCTTCCAGTTGTTCCAGGGAAGGCTCAGTAGGACACCAGCAGGAATTTCCCCATGGAAAGGGTGCTCAGGCCATGGAAGGGGCTGCCCAGGGAGGTTTGGAGTCCCCATCCCTGGAGGTGACCAAGGAAGGTCTGGAGGTGGCACTCAGTGCTCTGGGCTGGGGGCAAGGTGGGCACTGGGCACAGCTTGGACTTGACAATCTTGGAGGGCTTTTCCAACATTAATAATTCCATGCTCTATGAGAATTGTCCAAGTTTAAGCCACTGCAGAGACTGAGGCACCATTAGTGTGTCATTCTCAACTAATTTATTCACTTTGCTGAGGATGACATGCAGTTTTACATTTTCTCATCAATTTTGATTTGTTCTGTTCCTTTGAGGGAAAGTGCTGGCAAATTCAGTGAGGTTTTTAAATTATAAGCTCACTACGTTCTACTACAGGGAGTTTACCCAAATTCTTCCATTGTTATAAAAATAGGAAATAAAGTATTTGAACAAAAGTCCTGATTGCATGACCAGACCTGGGAAAGGGAAAGGGGAAAAGGGAAAGGGGAAAGGGAGAATGAGGAAAGAGAAAGGAGAAAAAGTAAAGGGAGAAGGGGAAAAAGAAAGAGGAAAGGAGAAAGGAAAGAGAAAAGGGGGAAAGAAAGGGAAGGGGGAAATGAAGAAAGTCACCAGGAGAAAATAAACCTAGAGCAAGTGAGGAGCTCTACAAGTTTTCCATTGAGCTATCATCATGATAGCTATCAAACATAAATCAGGACAAAAGTGCCCTGACAGGAGACTCAGCAACCATTTTTAAAGGGTCATTGCTTTAAAGTTTATTTTGTGTCCTCCTGCCAGAACTGAATGAATACAAATAAAGTCAACAAAGCTACCAAGGGACAAAAAAAGATATGGGGATGTCATGGTTTCAGGAGCAGATCAAAGACAGATGAAAATAGGAAAAGAAATTTAAAAATGAGAGGGAACTGTGAGTTATAAAGGTTTTGATAATCTGATGTACTTGCTACTCACCTCTGCATTTGAGAAGCAATATAGGAGAGCAACAACAAAACCCTAGGACAGGGAGGGCAGGGAGAGAAAAAACATGGATTTAAAATCTGGAATCAATAACAGACATCAAGTTTCATTCTCAGTGTGTGTAAGACAACAAAGAATGCATATTTCCCAGTTTTCTATTGGAGTTCAGGCAGTGTGACACTATTTACTGAGTTTTCATAATAGAATTATATTTCTCAGTGGACGGGTGACATTTTATATTTATTATTGCCCTTGTACAGAAACAAAAAAAGATAAACTTGCTGTTCACTGTATTCTACAAACCAATTCTCCCCTCAGATGAGGCAAGCATGGAAGAGGCATCATTTGCAACACATGTCAATGTGAACAAGTTGTGCTGGGGTACAGGAGAAAGAGGATGGGAAAAGAAATCAGCTGTTGAGTACAAAATGTACCAGACATGGGCCCTGACCCTCTCAAATGCATGTTCTGAGTAGTGGAACAGCAAAATAAACAATGAGATATTAACATGGTTCACTCCTCCTGAAGGGTAAGGGCAGAGCAGGTGGTTATGTACTCTTATTTACCAACCCTCTTATCGTTATTACATGTGAAATCATTTTCAATCAGTTCACCTTAATCCCCAGACTGGTCTTCATGGTGTTTGTCATTGTTATTCAATAAACACAGATGTTTTATTTATTTGGTGATTATTCATACAAAGTCTGACCCAGAGATTTCAAATAATAAGGGAGCAAGCAACAGAAGAGCTCGTGAAGGAGTGAGACGGGATGCGTGCATTGAATTTGGATGCATTAATAAATCCTGCTCTAATAACCAGCCTGAAGTGTGGTGGTACAGACCAAACATCTCAGGGCTGTTAAATTTTTGTCCATCTTACCTGAAATGAGCCCAGGCCCAGCTCGATGTACAGCCGAGCCTCCAGACCTGTGCTCTCTGGGAAAAATGCAAATACAATGTAGTGCACCCCAAAGAGGGGGATCAAAAGTAACGTGGACTTTGCAAGTCTCCTGAAAAAGCAAGAATTGAAGGACAATGCACTGTTAGAAACAGGGAATAAGGAACATAAATTATATATAGGAACATTTTAAAATTCAGAGAACAGCTCCAAATGGAGGCAGCTGCATCCATTTGGATGAAGAAATTTGGAGAAGTTATGGAAAGGTCCTGTGACTGCACTGATGGGATCCCCAGTGATTGTGAGGGGTTTGTAAACAGCCAGGACCAGGCTTGGTTACAGTCTATCCTGTTGCTGCAAAGAATTTATCCTCTTACTGCATCTTTCTCTATGTGGCCATTTGTGTGGACAGGGCTGGGAGCGAGGTGGATTCATCACCTGACATTTGGTGTTTACACTTTCAAGCTTTTGAAGTTTCATACTTTATTATTTTACTTTTCTCTTTGTCCCTGACATATGCACCCCACCCTTTTTGCCCTGAAATAAAAAATGAGATGTGATATTTGAGGTGAAAAAGAAAGTTCACATTGTCATTTCTTCTATTTCTATTAGAAGAGGAGTAGAACATTCTGTTCTCCTGCCCATAAAAAATTTCTTACAGCAGTTAGAGCAGGTCAATCCTAAGAGACCCAGAAATACTTACACAAAGTGGCTTGAATGGCTCCCTCCTCCCTCCTGGGATTTCAATTTATGGACTAGAATCCTGATCACATTAATGAATATAATAAAGTTAATCTGTAAAGACAAGACAAAGTCTTTAAATTTACTACAATCCAGGACATGCCTCCAGTTGATACAAATAACTAAAAATCCCCACTTTTAGGAGCTGCATTGCTATAAACCAATGCTCATCCCTTCTCAGCTCAGATCAATAGCTTTAGAAATAATAATTATATTTCCCACCAAAATATAGTTGTACATAAAATATGGTGACAGTCAAGTTGAATTATTGTAAACCATCTTAATATCATTTTATGGCTGATATTAATGCCTTGTGCTTCTGGTCAGAACTTTAAATTTAGATTTTAAATTTAGATTTTAAAAGGTCTAAAAAAATCCCCCCTGTTCTCATCATTATTTATGACAGGGATTATACCAGATACAGACTTAAAAACCAGATTGCTCCTCCCTATAAATTTGTGGATAAGGGAGATTTTTCTGTCTTAAGTTACAATCATAAGAACTCATTTTAAAAGCACACTAGATAAAATTATCTATATGCAGAAACTCAAAGGAAAATAAAAAAAACCTTACTAATACAGTCAGCAGGATTGGGCCTTTAATGATCCATAACACCACTCCATTTTCATCATCATCCCAACATCTGGAACAACAAACAAAATCAGGTTTTTCATTGGTCCCATGGGAGCTCCCCGTAACACACAAAAGCACTTCTGCCACAGGAAAGGAAAGTGGTGGACACTAAGTTTATATCACTGTCTGAATGTCCCTGGTTTCCCTGTAGTCTTATCTAAAGAAAATTTAATCAGCAAGAATCACAGATTAAAGACCAAAGCAAAGTAAAAAAAAATCATATTTGTATTTTTAGGCTTCTTTCCTACTCTTCTTACCATTCTCAAGTCAACTTCTTATTCAACTCTCCTGAGTTCTGAGCAGGTGGGTATAAAATAGAATATTTTCCAGCTGATGTGAAATGATTTGAAAGCCTTCAGGACAGCTTACAGCAAACAATATTTCTATCAGGAGCTCATGTTAAAAGATACAGATAAAAATAAAGTAAAATAATTGAATGGAAACAAAAGAAGAAATTGCTGGAGTCAATGTTGATTGTTTGGGAAGTTCTCATTTGAAGAGATTAGGGTTAGTTATTTATGGTTGAATTTATACAGAAACAGCAATTTTCTTGAAATACAATTATTTCAAGGACTGGAATTAGGGAACTTAAATGAAATTTCAATAGTTAATATGATATTATCAGGTTTTCTTTTCTTTTATGTATGGACATAAAAATCACAAGACTGAAAAGTATTTTCTCACTTATGTACAAGCTGTAAGAATTAGAGGTACAACTTTGAATCATGAGAGTTTTTCCCCTTACCTTTCCCTGTACACATCTTTTTTCCCCCTCAGAAAAACAGAACACCATAAAAAAAATAGGATTTTTGGTGTTCTTTATCCCAGCTCTGACTTACCCAGTGTTCTGTTGATGGATTCGTGTGAGGACCCAAGCAAACATCACAGCAGTGGGAGCTCCTGAGCAAATCAACAGGAACACAAGAATTGGTTTGAATATCCTGTCCCATGGAATCTTTATTCCAGTAGGTTCACAGTGCAGCAGGTTGGATTAAAGGTCAATTTATGGGTCAGACAATTTTCAATTGCTTTATGAAAGAATTTAATTTGCAGTTCAGGGAAAGGAAAAAAAAAAAGAAAGGAATAAAAGGGCAGGAGAATGAAATCATAACACAGGAGAATAGGGGATGCTGTGAAACCATACTTTCAGAAATAAATGTAAAGAATTACTTGAAGGCTGGGATAGGAACTGCAAGCACTTATGAAGCTGGAGTAAGCATTTGTTTAGCTGGGGCTCTTTTATCTTGTGGATTGTGGCCAGCAAACACCCTTTGTACAGCAGCTGGAAAAGTTCATAATTTTGTCCTAAAGACTCTAATCACCCCAGACCAATCAGTTGATAAGAATTCCATGAAAATTTATCTGAATCCAGTGATTTCTAGCCTTGCTTTATCTGCTCATCCTTCTGCTCATCCTTCTGTCCTTCTACATTTTTGACTGGGGTTTTTTAAGGCCTATAAAGCATAAATTGCTTTTTCTCTCCTCCCGTGGAATTGAATTTCCAAAGACTAAGTGACTTTCAAAGCTGCCACAAAAGGAATTGAATTTCCAAAGACTAAGTGACTTTCAAAGCTGCCACAAAAGGGACTCTAATGTGAAACAGGTGACATTTTCACTGATGAACCTACAGAAATACAGGGAATTTCTTTCTAAGTATCATTTGAGGTGTGTGGGAAGGGCTCAGAATTTGTCCTTCCAAATTTTTGCCTTTTGCTCAACGCCTTTAAGCTGGGACCTTGTTAAATTCAAGTTGGCTTTTTAATTAATGAAAATAAATATTTTCCTGAACATCACCTAAGATGAGAGTTACCCCTGAGGTATCTCTCACCTCCCATTGATTGCAGAAGGAGATGAGGATTACCACATTATTGAGTTGTTTGCTTTCTTATCTCAAGTTGGCCATGATTAATTAAGAGCTGAGAGTCTTCTTTCAGACAACCCTATTTGGAACAGCTCCAAAAAATTTAATTACATTAAACTTTCAAAGCTGCCACAAAAGGAATTGAATTTCCAAAGACTAAGTGACTTTCAAAGCTGCCACAAAAGGGACTCTAATGTGAAACAGGTGACATTTTCACTGATGAACCTACAGAAATACAGGGAATTTCTTTCTAAGTATCATTTGAGGTGTGTGGGAAGGGCTCAGAATTTGTCCTTCCAAATTTTTGCCTTTTGCTCAACGCCTTTAAGCTGGGACCTTGTTAAATTCAAGTTGGCTTTTTAATTAATGAAAATAAATATTTTCCTGAACATCACCTAAGATGAGAGTTACCCCTGAGGTATCTCTCACCTCCCATTGATTGCAGAAGGAGATGAGGATTACCACATTATTGAGTTGTTTGCTTTCTTATCTCAAGTTGGCCATGATTAATTAAGAGCTGAGAGTCTTCTTTCAGACAACCCTATTTGGAACAGCTCCAAAAAATTTAATTACATTAAAAAAAACCTAAAAATCTGAAGGTGAAGGATAAATTAATATTTATTCAGCGTAACTTGGATTTCACTTCTAAGTCAAAAAATGTCATTGTAACTACTCAGTTTGGGTGCTTGCATTTTAGACCAGCCAAGGTGAGACATGGGAATATGTGAGAGTCATAATCAACAATTCTGAGCAGTGAAAGAAATCCTATTTATTTCCCACTCCTATTCTGAGTATCAGAGATAACTTCAATTGCTGTATGACCTCAAAAGATTCCTTAAAGTCAGGAGATCTCTGAAAATAAAAGAAATATATAATTGTTTGATTCCTAGGCCTGGACTGACACGATTTAATATTCATCTGTCAAATTCTGCTTGCAAAAAACAAAAGGCAACTTAGTCATCCAAACTTCTTTAGTCAGTGGAGGAATTCAACATATTTTTAGGATATTATCCAGCCATATCACTCATGAGGCCTGGATTATTCACCACCATGGTGCAAATAACTGAGACATAAAAGTGAATACAATGATGCAGCAGTACTGGATGAACGGGCAACTTCCCTCAGCAAAGTGTCACCTTTGACAGTCTCCTTTCACCTCAGAACACAGATTTCACCCAGTTCTGCAAGCAACCAGAAATACTGAATGGCACGAAGAGGAAGGGAGTACTAACCCCAGCCAGTAAATACGAACCACCACACAAACTTCTTGTTGGAAACAAAGGTCAGCAGCAGCAGGGTTTGCAGGTAGATCCCTTCGATGAGAAGCCAGAAGAAATTGGCTAAAATACTGAACTGGAAGAAGGCCACAGCAGCCTTGCAAGCAACCTGGAAGTGCAGAGGAAGAAAAAACCTTTTAGGTCTTGTTATGGCTGGTTTCTATAGAACTGTAGGCAAAATTCAATGTTGCCACACAAGAATGAAGAAACAACAGAATTTCTGTATGTTTAGGTCTTCATAATTTAAATTAATTTTATTTTAGATTTTTGAAAGGGAAATATTGGGGTTTTTTTTTCTCACAGATTAAATTCTTTTCTGGTAGAAATTGTTAGAGCTTCATCAGAGTCAACAGACCTAAACATCAAAGTTGAGTGCAGCCTTAGCACTTGGTTTATGGGTTTGCATAATACTGTTTGTTTAAAGATTCCAGTTTTAGCAACAGGAGAAATAGGATGAAAATATCTCCCTGATGCCTTCAGGTAAAGAATTAAATGCTCACTCAAGGGTGAGAGGCAGGGGAAGTTCAGTACCGTTGACATGAGGCAGTGGTCCATAGTTTCATCTGCAAACAAAACAGCATCTTTGGTGAAAACAGCAACTGCTCTCAAGATAAAGGAGACAAACAGGTGCATGTGGATGTAATTCCGTGTGCAGTGGAATTTTCTGGCATGGAAAGAGAAAATAAAAATTGTTCTTTGAAAGAAGTTTCTCAGAGTCTCATCAAAAGTCAAACAGGGGTACACAAGACTGCAGACACCTTGCAAAACAATAAATTATCTGTTACTATTTGAGAGTCAGCAAGACAGGAGGGAGCAGAGAAGCCTGTTACCTTTTTCAGCTAATAAAAATTCCAGGCTAATTGTCCTTGCATCACCACACATTTAAAGGAGATGCCAGAAGCAGAGAGTAACTGTGGGAGTCTTGGGCTCGATTGTGATAATACCTCTTAATCATTTTTGATAACTTTTTTTGTTGAAGAAGCTTGCATCAGGCTTTTCAGCCCCTTTTGGGTCAAAGAAAGGACTGCATTGGTGTCAGTCGCATGGTATGGGATGGCTCCAGAGCAGTTGCCCTGACTGCTTTAATCTGATGAGAAGCAGCTGAGGGAGCTGGGAAGGGGCTCAGCCTGGAGAAAAGGAGGCTCAGGGGGGACCTTGTGGCTCTGCACAGCTCCTGACAGGAGGGGACAGCCAGATGGAGCTGGGCTCTTCCCCCAGGTAACAAGGACAGGACAAGAGGAGAAGGCCCCAGGTTGTGGCAGAGGAGGTTGACATTGGATATTAGGGAAAATGTCTTTATGGAAAGGGTTGTCATATAATTACTGGCACAAGCTGCCCAGGAAAGTGGTTGTGATACCTGAAGTTTTAGTTTTCATATTTTCCAGATTCTGTACTGCATTGGTATATATCTCTGAACTTCATATGAAGGGTTAGCAAGTTCTCCTCAGTCCAGTCAGACAAAACAATCCTTTTCCAAGGAGAACCAAGGACACTGCTGCAGCTTCAGGCCCAAAATGTGTAAACAATGGGGAATTAAAGAGAGCAAACTGGGAGGACGGGACTGCATAACCTGAAACTGTAATTGGATAATTAACTCCAATGTGGAAATGGACCAAAACTTATAAAAGTGTGAAAACTTGTGATCCAGCATCCATCTTGGGTCCATCCTGGGTGGAGCCACGGCCAGGCTCTTGTGCTGCCCAAGGTGTATCCTTTGAAGGCATTTTAATAAATCCCTATTGTGTTCCTTTAACACTGTCTAGCCTCTGTTCCAGGGAGCCTCACAAGGCATCAGTTGAGTCCCCAACTCTCTGGGAATTTAAAACACACAGAGCTGAAGTGCTTGGGGGCCTGGGTTAGGGATGGACTTGGCAGTACTGGGTTAATGGTTGGACTTGGTCTTAAATGTCTTTTCCAGCCCAATATTCCTGTGATTCCCTTTGCCTAGACTGCCCTGTGCACATTTTGCCTTGAGCTGAGGGAATCTCCCTCAAGGTTTGGACACATCAGCCTTGTGCTCCTGGGTCCCTCTGTAAGGACCATGAGACTGCCGACCCACTCCAGTCAGGGAGCTGCTCTGTGCTCTGCCTCAACCAAACCCACTTCCTAATAACCAACACCATCAAATGAGGCACTGAAATTTAATTAAATCTCACTTTTATAGCTCTCAGTTATGGAAGCAATGGCCTTTCACAGAGAGAATGGGCAATTTAGGAAAACTCTGGTTCTGGGACATGGGACAATGTTTATGCAGAGTCTGTCCTGCCGTGCACTGTAGGAATAATCAAAAAATGTTTAAAGTTATCTAAAGTTAGGGCATTTCCACTGTATGGTGTCATCAACGAGGTTAACAGAGACTGCCCAGCTTGTTTTAACATCTGCAGGGAAACACTGCAGCACGAGTAGGGAAGGACCCACCACCATCAAAGGAGTTATGTCTTAGAATTATTAGAAAACAACCATTTAAAAAATCCCACAAAACAAAAGCACAGAGGATCTGAGAGAAATTGTCTTTAGGCATGCTGAGAAAAAGCCCATTTGTAGTTACCTGAAGGCAGCAAAGACAATTAGAGCTGTAATGAGCGAAGTCACGGATGCTGCATAGCCAGCGGTGTAGACACGCCAAAACGCAGAATAATAGGATTTCTGTGGGAAAAAGAGACACAGCCCAATGCAGGTGGTCGTGCTGGATGCATCCTGGGGTGCTCATTCCACTGGGACACATTTCCCTCACTGGTCAGTCCCACAATCTCTGTTTTTCATGCTCAAGATCTGTTTCAGGATTTTCCCTCCACCATTAATAAAAGTCATCCTTTTGAGTCTTACTTAACCCTACACAGGAGAGAAGTTTCACACCCCACAGGCTCATCTGACCCCTCTGAGCATGTTCTGCAGGAAAATATTAACTGTGATGTATAACCACCTTTTCTCATGTCAGTATACAAAAACTCTGGAGCACTGAAACGTTCTGGTGGGAGATTTTTGAAGCTGTTACTTTAGACCTGAGCCAAATTCAATAAGCATTGATTTCCATAAAAAGCTGTAGCTGAAAGAGAAATAAAACTCTCAATTTTCAGGTGAGGAAGCTAAAACATTGATAGAGTTACATCAGGTTGTGAAGGTAATTAAAAGCCAAGGATATCACCTCACAGTCCTTAATTCTCTGGACAAACAGTTCATTCCTTTCTGTGTACTGTAGCACTGTAAATTCTTTATCATTCACTTGTTTTCAGTTAAGATCTATATCCTAAGAAATCCTAATCCTCTGTCCTAAAAAAAAAAAAAAAAAAAAATAAAGCTTGTTTACTTGCCTTTAACTATGCAAATTTTATTCTGATTCACTACAAGATCACCTAATTATTTAAAATCCCACGACACTAAATTCTCTGAACCCAGGCAAATTTCCTCCTTATAAACCCGGTGGACACTTTGTTCTCTAATTGATCCCAAATCTGTTTATACAAAAGGCTGCAATTCTAGGTTGAGACAACAAATTAGCAATTTTAAATAGATCCATAAAGAGATCTTGTAACCCTGACGTGATAGGAATCATCCTGGTGTTTCTGCAATAGTCCTGATCTTTTATACAGTATTTTCAAAACACAGATGAAAATTAGAAATGAGGTGATTTAATTTAATATAAAGACTTTGAATTATTTTATGTTTTTGTAGGATGGATTAAGAAACAACACTAAGCACAAAAGACATCATAAGTGCTCACTGCACATGCAAAATACAAATAGGTGATTTAATTTAATATAAAAACTTTGAATTATTTTATCTGTTTTTGTGGGATGGATTAAGAAACAACACTAAGCACAAAAGACATCATAAGTGCTCACTGCACATGCAAAATACAAAGCAAGTTGTTCTATTAGGACACAATTGAGATTTTTACTCACTTCCCTATGTGTGCAGTGCAGCAGAGATTGCTGATTTTATCTTCCTTTTGTAGTCAAACATTGTGGATTTGACTGGAATAATAAGCTAAACACAGGCAGAGCACAGACAGCAGCTCTGTGCAGAAATCTGCTATCACTGTGAAATATAAATATAGCTCCTGGCTTGACTTTAGCCTAGACCAGCCAGAAATTATGCCTGGCTTAGCACAATCCAGGGACTGCTTGGAAGAAGCCACCTGGAGAGTGAGTTTAGCCCTGTGGGAGAACCCCATGGGGGCTGGAGATCTGTGCTCCAGAATACACCTCCTTTTATCAATTCTACATCCCTCTGAACTGTTCACATTATTTCCAGCATCTTTCTAGAAGGTTTTTAAGCAGTTATTTAAATTTTCTAAGCATTTATTTAAGCTTTAAAAACATTTCTCTTTCCCCAAAGTGCAAAAGCAGAAATATTCTTATTTATAGAAGGTCACTGAGCTCCAGATATGAACTCCAGTAGGACGAGGAGGAATGTGGAACTTTAAATCATATCAAGATGTGGATGTGAAAGAAATTCTGACTCTTAATTGAGCATGAATTATGATTGTCAGACAGGAAAAATATTCACTTCTTGCTCCACTGAATACCTGAGATAAAGTGGGGAAATAGTGGCATCCAGGAGTTCCCCCCTAAGGATGTGTGCTGCCCACCAGGCTATAAAGTTAAGAAATATTTTCTTCTATGACACAAAGAAAATCTGGAAAAAAATACAAATAGGAGGGATCCAAAGGAATTTTCCCTGAAAAAAATCTCTGAGGACAGGTGGGTAGGACTTCCCTGGGAGATGTGTATGATCAGGATTTACATCACCTCTGTCAGGGAAACAAATCTTAGTTTGGACAGGTGAACTGAGCATGAGTTTAACCAAGAGGAGACTTTTGGATGAAGAGGAAAGTGCTGACTGCTGCTCACTTGCTTTATGTTGAGCCTAATTTGTTAATCAAGTTCTAAGTATACCGACAAGTTTTGTGTTTAGCACTGAGAATGGGTAATTTTCAGATGTGTGGAGCATCCAGCTGCTCAGGAGAGGCTGCTCTGGAGATGTTCAGAAGCAGGAAATGAAAGTCCCACCTGATCCTCAGGTCCTTTACTGGAACCTTCATCAAAGCCACAGGCAATGGTGTATGGTGGGAATGGCTCTGACCAATATTCCTCCTGTGTACAGTTCCTCTGAAGGAAACCTTCAACGGGAAAACACAGCAGAGAATTAATTAGGGGTGCTGCTGCTGCTGTTCTTTAAGTTTTGATGAGTAGCAACAATTTCTTATTACCCCTTTGATTCCTAATTTAGGTACTTAGGGGCTGAGTCATGTTCAGAGAGATTAGCTATAAGAATGACAATATTCTCCACATCTATCCTTTAAAAACTGAGGGACATCTTCTCAGTCATTTCAAGATGCAGTGGGACTTGTGCATTTCATATGGGAAATCAACTGTAAATTCATTCCCTCCACAGAGGAAATTAAATTGTAGATTTACTACATTTTTTGGGATTTTGGGCAAAGCCCTGAGCCATCTTTTCCAGGCTGGGAAAGCTTTATAAGTCCATATAAATTTCATAAGTCCAAGTTTTAATCTTGGTCCTGCTTTGACTGGAGGACTGGACTGGCTGACTTTAGGATGTTCTTTTTAATATTAATTTATGTACAGTTTTATAAATCAGTGATTCTAGGACATATCCCTTTATAAATTTAGCAGCATGGTGCAATTGTCCATTGTATTTACATCAACAAAGGGATTAAATAATTCAGTAGAGCACAACACAGAAGTGTCGATATTGACCCCAAGCCAAGCTGTGTATCTGGATAATTACTGAATGCTGGCTGACATAAGAGCATTGTAAATCAGGAAAATATGAAGGAATCCTCAACTACTAGAATTCATTTAAAACAAAATTTTAAAAAATAGGGATAAGAAGAACAGGAAAAAAAAAAATCTTGCCGTGTGTACTGGTGAATTCTTCAAAAAATCGTGGGCAGGGAATTTTAACCACTTCCCCAAAAGTGGCTCTGGGCCAGCAGGTTAAACCCTTAAAAAAAAATAGGGATAAGAAGAATAGGAAAAAAAAAAAATCTTGCCGTGTGTACTGGTGAATTCTTCAAAAAATCGTGGGCAGGGAATTTTAACCACTTCCCCAAAAGTGGCTCTGGGCCAGCAGGTTAAACCATCCCAATCTCTGGCACATCCTGTAAAAAAAAAAAAGTGCCTCTAAATAAAGAAAATCACGGAGAACATCACACATTTGATCTTCCATAATGAGATTGTCTGTGGCTTTCCCACTCATTCACATGCAAGAAGAGCCACAGCAGGATGTGCAGCTCCACAAATGAAGGAGTGGAGTGTTTTCCTTTTCTCCTTGAATGCATCCTTGCTCACACTTGGTATTCCAGCTGGACTTTCCCCCTCCTTATCTCATGAGAGAATGTACCTGAAATTCAAGCAGACAATCCAAAAGTCAAATCAATTGGAGCTCTTTTCTGTTGTCAAAACAAAAGCCACTGAAATAAAGGTACTGAATAATGATTAGCACTTGAGATTTCTCATTACTCCTTTCTCATTACTTGAGATTCCTCATTACAGAGTCTAACTGAAATGCACCAGACTTAAAATTCAGCCTTAACCTCTTTATTTCATGTTTAAAAATTTCACCTGGCTTAAAGGAAATAAGGGCTGAAGTCCCAGTCTTAGGCAATCAATGGCATTTTTGTGATGGATTTCCCAAGGGATTAAATTCATCCCAAACCAGAACATCTCAGCATTATAATAAACGACCCTCACTGGGAGTGGGTCTGACTGTAGAATTCAAGAGGTTCCCTAAAGCAGAGACTGCTGGCTGATGACACAGGGTGTGCTACTGGCTCTGAATTCCCTAAAAAGGCTTTTCAGGAGTTTCAGTGAATCACAGCTTTGTCACAGCTGCATCACACTGAGACCTCAAGCTGTTGGCAAGTGGGCGTGGGGGCAGCTCAGAAAAATGGCCAGCATGTAAATGTGCCTGAAACAATAAAAAAAAGCATCAGGCTCTAACCAAAACTAATCTCTAGGTAGTCATAAGGGGGGATATAAAGCAGGGGGTTGGGTTGGGAGCTGTTATTTCCTTCCATGGTTCTTCTCTGCGATGGATGACGAGGCAAATCTGAAGTTGTCAAGTTGAAATGTGGAAGCAATACTAGCCTGTAGCTGAGCAAAGTCACTGAGTGACTTACAAAAGGAGAGTCCTGAGAATCTCCCACAGCATTATCCTCACATCACCCTCAGGAGGATGAAATTCCTGGTATACCAAATTTTCCAGGGAAAATAGAGGCCCTCATTCATTAGCTGTAATTTTAATTATGTCAGCTACTCTCTGTTACGTTCCCTTTGGGATCAACAGAAAGAGACAGAGCCTTCCAGAGCTGATTCATCCCAAATATTGTGCCTTCTTCCTGAGGACAGGATGAATCACACCCTGCAAACACCTGGCTCTCACTGATGATTACAGCCTAAACTCAGCTGCTAATTGTCAAATTTATGAAGCCAGGTAATACAGCCCCACTTAGACATGCAGTGGCCCCCACACTTACACTTAGCCCCTGAAGTGGTCCTTCTTAGAAAAGCTCAGCAGATTTGAGGGGCTGGGGCTAAAAATCTATTTTATTTGGCAATGTGGACTTAAAAATTCTATTTGTGTTATCTCCTGTAGGAACAGAACCTGCATGTCTTAAGTCTTAGAAATGATTTATTTCCAGTGATTTATTTCTACAGTTTATAGCAAAGAAACTGCTGAGGGCAGGGGATGAAAGGGAATTTTTCATGCCAAGGTTTTCAAGAGCCTGGTAGTGTCCAAGTCACCCAAGACACCACAAAGGAAAGTGCAGTAGAGGTTGTATCTGTGAATGTTGACACCAGAGATATTTGAGTCTTGTTCAGTAATCCAGGAAGTTTTAGATAGTGAAGGGGGAAAAAAAAAAAAAAAAAAAAAAAAAGGTGGGGGGTTAGGACTTGATTAATTTGACATATTTTACACATCTTCTCCAAAATTAGATGAATTTCACGCTGGGTTCTGCTGGTGGCATTCACTGGACTCTGCTGTGTACAAGAATAATGTGGAACTACTTCAGAGTAAAATCTCTGCCACACAGACTGATTCCAGCACAGATCCTCTGTGACTGCTGAGGTTTGACTCTACAAACTGTGATCCCTCTGTTTGTCTCACTGAGTTCCAGAAAACTGAAACACAAGCAATGGACTTTTACCTATCTTAGTGTAGCTTTATCCTCCGGATAAAATACTTGGAATAAATGAATTTTAAATTAAACTTAAATGATGTTCACAGTTTTTGGATTTCCACATATTTACCAACTGGCCAAAAAATTTTTTGCAAATTTTCCCCAGCTCTAATATTTAATCCCAAACTACATTGAGAAAGGCTGTAAACACCAGAACAGACTTTTCATTAAGCGGAGAATAAAAGGTGGAAAGGGGAGCTTTGAAAAGCTCAGAGAGGACAAGGTTGAAGATTTTTAAAAAGTTTAACAGAACTCTCAGAAATTTTTATTTCTTTTGCTACTAATAGGATTCTAAAACCATGTCATTATTTTTGTGTTGAAGAGGAAGATGCCTGGAATGACATTCTGTAATGCAAGTAACAAACAATTTTTGAAAATGCCTAATTTATACCAGAATTTTTTGTGGTGGGTTACTTTGTGTTCTAGGTGCAAAATGTGTCCAAGAGGTATTTTGGACTTTATTCAAGTCCAAAAGCATGAAAATTGAAGTCCAAAAGTGTAAAAAAAAACTTTATTAAAGTGTGTGTGAGAAATAGCACCAAAATAAAATAAGAAACTACAAGAGGAACATGAAACATGGGAGTGATTGGAAATTCTGCAGAATAACATTAAAGACAAAGGAAATATTTTGGGGTCAGACTCTGATTTTCACCAGGCTGCTAAAGGCAGATTTCCAAATGGTTCCAATAATTCTATCCCAACCAAATGCACGAGGTGTCTTTGTCTCACAATTCCTCTGCAGTGAACAAACATCTTAAAATTCGTGGAACTGAAAAATCTCACTGAGGTGGATTCAAATTTTTCTAAAGAAAGCTGACCAGAATAAAATATGGCTGAATTTTTGAAAGAGTCTGAACGTTATGAAATTCCATGTTGAGTTATTTCAAAGCATGCTTCCAAAACCCCAGGAGAGAACACCTTACACAGCATTCTGAATATATTATATTATAAATATAATAAATATACTATATTATAAATATATTTTACAGGTTTTGTTTGTTGTTCATTTTACTTTTCAAAATTTGTATCACGTGATAGACTTCTGAACACCACCACAATAAATCTTTACAAGCAAATAAATAATGTTTGAAATTGTGAAAATGTAATATTTTGAAGAACTTGGGATTTTCTTTAACCCTTTCTTCTTTTTTCTCCCCCAAAGAATATTTTCACCAGACTGGAATGATTCCCAATGTGACAGAATTTCAGTAGGGTCTTCTGGGGGAGTTTCTTTGGGGTTTTGGATGTAATAAAGAATACTTCAGTGAAGTGAGACATTCCAAGGCAGGGGATGCCCATCAGGAGCTTTACCTTTAAGATCAGGTGAGGCAGATTCGTTGTGTTCCAAGCAGAGAGCCTCCTCTTTGACCACCTGCTGGAATATTTTGCATTCTGGGTGAATTCCCGTAACCTTGACAAGAGAAAGACAAAAAATAAGAAAAAAAAAAAACAAAAAACCAAAACCCAACAACAATAAAAAACCCCAACCAAACAAAAACAAACAAAACCACAAGAAAACCACACAAAAATCCCCAAAACAAACAAACAAATGAGAAAAAAAAACAAAAAACCAAAACCCAACAACAATAAAAAACCCCAACCAAACAAAAAAAAACAAAACCAACCAACCAAAAACAAAAAGAAAAAAAAAAAAAAGGAAGAACTTCTGTGATTATCAGAATGAGAAAAGCCAGTTTGTACCTCATGGTTTATATCTTGAGATCTGTGAATGTGAAATCTCCAGCTGAAGTTGGGTTTCTTTTTTTACAAACAGAACATATACAGCACCTCTTCTCCAGTCTGGATATTTTTATCCCCTTTCCTTTGCAGTTATATTTTCCACAAAACTTAAATGTTCACAGTTTTTGGAACACAGTTCATATATTTACCAACTAGCCAAAGCTGGATGAATCCACCAGCTGTGGGATTATTCACATCAAGTTTTCCAGACTTAAATACAGCCTGACCACAGAAATATTTCCTCTCCATAAACCAACTACAATTAAATAAATTTATTTAAAGAATGCTAGTCTTGGCCATAGTTTAATCTGAATGATTGAAAAATTCTAGAAATGGCTTGTCTGAGGATGTTGCACACACCTTAGACTGAGGAGCTGATTCCATTTTAACAGATGAAGAAATGAGAAAAAATAATTAATGATTTGACTGGGAATCTTAAGGAATATTTTTCTCTTATAGGTAAGGGTACATGTAAGCAGCTAAATGGATTTCTAGACAGCAGCTGTTGATCAGGGTCTAAATTCACCCTCTTAGTCACAGGTATTTAGTCCCATTTATTGCCATGTATTTTGCTTGCCCTCCATCTCCCCCTCCAGAAGGTTTCATGTCCCCCGTAGTCCTGTGTCATCACTCCTGTGATTGTGAGATGTTCTTAATCTTCTAAATTACATCATCATTAATGTTCTTAATTAATGTTCTTAATAACCTACACAACCCCAAAACAGCTTCCTCTGCAAAGGCAAAGAAATTCTGAGAAAGAAACTACATGTCAGTGTCTACACTTGATTTATCTCATCTTTTCCAGTCCTTGGGAATTTCAAGGATGTCTCAGTCCCCCAGTTAGATCTCAAGGATGTAAAATATCCCTCAGATGGAACCCACAGTGCAGAAATGGTTGGTGCTGTTTGGGATGTTAGAAAATATCTCAGCCCTCTTGTGTAGACTCTGAATTAATTTTGCCAGCCCTGTGTAGAAGTATCAAATGCATTATTTGAAATGTCAAATGTGTTATTTGATGTCTCAAATGCTTCTACACCTTTAGGAAACTGAATTAAACTGAGTAAAGAAAGCCACTGAACTGTATTCAGAGAACTGGATACTGGACCAAATATTGGGATATTGAGATCTTCAAGATTTAGGGAGTCTTATATGGAATAGAAGTTCTCTATTTTTTTTGTTCTGGTGCTTGCTTCTTCCTAACCTATGCTATTTAACACAAAGCCAGGGGCTCAGTTAGCAGGGATTTTAATGGAAAAGGATGGAATGAAGACTTTCCAACATGTTTTTGAGGAAGACTGTAGGCCCTTTCAACCTCTAATGACTTTGAAAAGTCAGTGCAGAAGTAAACATCACTTCAATATTGCCTTTTCAATCTCAGAAAACTGATTTATTGGCTTTCAAAATGTTTTCAGTGAGCAGAGCAACCAGGATTTCTTTCAGCTTGCACAGAAATGTTACTGGAAGTTATGCAGACTATTCCATCTCAGTAATAATATCTGCCAAGGGGCAAAAATTAGAGCACAATTTTATCTTTAAAAACCCTTAGAAATTCTGCCTACATTTGGGTTTTGAAGTAGCATAGACAGACTTGTCTCAATTATGAGGCCCCAGAGATGGTTCATGCATGCTAATATTAGAACAGAAAGAGGATTAGGGGCACTGTTTGAAAAGAAGTTAAGACATTGTGCTTTTTCATGCCTTATATTACTCCAGTGGGTAATTCAAAATACATTTTATAAATCAGCATGAGTGACTCTTAAAATAGTACTTTTTGCTCTTCAACTATAGTAACTCAATACTGAAATGAAATTTTTCAGGTATTAATAGGATCCCTGCTCATCACTTTGCATTTAAACAGACATTTCATTTTGCAGTTTGCCCCCATAACAAATGAACTCTCTGAGTAGAAATAACAAAATAATTGCTCCATAAATCTCTCAGTATTTCAGTTCATAAAGGTGGATTCAGCTGGACAGGAAAAATGCCATTCCTCTACTTCCTGGAATTCCTGGATTCTGTTACAGTGATAATTTTATATTTGGAATATTCTAAGGTTTGGTGTTGAAAAGTCATGGCAATTTGAGATGATGCTCTACCATCTACTCTGAGTCCTCTTATGCTAAAAAGCATAACCCAAAATGCAAACAAACCCCAAAATTTGAAATGTCTTAGAAAAAAAGCACTGAGGAGTGGTGGCTTAAATTAACTCCCACCTTGTGCCAGAAAATCCTAGAAACACACAGAATCAGTTCTGAAAAAAATAAAAAAATCAGAGGAGGAAGAGTTATATTTTCTGCAGAAGTCAGTCTGAGACACAGGCAGGTGGAATGAGGGGCACGGAGGGAGTGTGCCAGACTCCTGCTGCTCAAAGCAGGCTGCATCTTCTCTCCCTTGGCAAATCCACACCTGCTGAGCCAGAGCTTCAATCACCATCATTCATCAGAGCTGGTGGAAAAATGGAGTTCTTCATTTGCAATGGCTGGGGAAGCTCACACCCCAGCCCTGGAGAGGTGGTACTGCCTTGGTGTTACACACAAACAGAGGAATTGCTAAAACAGGTCCAGGTAGTGCTGCCTCTGAAATTTATCTGGTGGGAAATCATCACCAGAAAAAAAAATATTTGATGAATTTTTTTTGGAAATCCTGATCCACTGGTAGTGATACCCAGAGTCTGGGCTGCCCAGAGAAGCTGTGGCTGGCTCTGGAAGTGTCCAAGGCCAGGCTGGACAGGGCTTGGAGCACCCTGGGGTAGTGGAAGATGTTGGGGGTGGAACTGGCTGACCTTTAAGGTCCCTTCCAAGCCAGCCCACTCTGGGATTCTTTGATACCCATGGTGGTACTGCAGTAAATCCCACTGACACTCATAGATAGAGCAATTAACCAGCGGCTCAAATTTGTTTCCTTCTGGGTTATGGATTTGGGGTGGGCAGCACTACAACTACAGGAGCCCAGACATGTCATCACAGATCAGTGACATTAAATATTAAATATCACTGACACTTCAGGGTTTAAAAATCAACATCAAGCCCTACTTCAGATGTAACCTGCAGACTATCCCAGCAGAAGCCAAAACAGGGCTGGTGTTATTAATTTATAAACATACAGACTCACTCAAAGTCATCCTACTGTTGGACAGAAAAAAAAATTAAAAAAAAAGGACACAAGATATATATACAAGAAATACAAGAAATACAAGGATATACAAGAAATCAAGAGCAGTGATGATGCTTCAATTCATTGGTTTTCCTCAGGCTTTGAGAAAAAGAAAGACATAAAACCATTGTACAGTTAAAGAAAAGCCTTGTGGGCAGAGCATTACTTGTGATTTGTTGTCTATGGCTTATTTTCTGCTATTAATCTCACAGTGCCTTGAGTGAAAAGTTTTTGCTCTGATCTGCCTGCAAGTGTTGGGTGATGGGCCTTTCTAAAAGAGCAGGAGCTCTGCATTTGGTGCAGGGACATTTTATGGCAATTTGGGAGGCATCTGCTGAAAAGGTGGCTTTTGTAGGAAAAGAGTGGCTCCTGCTCACCATAAAAAAAGGAAAATTTAGGAACCAAAGCAGAGCAGAGCTTTCTGAGGCAGACAAGTCCAGTGTGGCACAGTGTTCACTACAACAGCAAGAGCTGTAGGAGGCTGATTTAAGATGTTATTCCTTGGATCAATATTTCCCTGTATCTCAGCAGTAACCTGGCCTGACTCTCACCAGAAATCACAGTGGGATGCTTTCATTCCAAGATTCACGCATAAAACTTTGAGATTTCAGGAAATATTGTGGACAATCCTCAAGGAATAGAGCTTTGCATTCCCGAGCATCATAACACAAAGGGGTTTTTTTTAGTGGATTGAATGTTACTGACCAGTTTGAGTCCAAGTTCACAGGGGTGTTCTGACTCCTAGTCCTCACCACAAAAACAGTCTTGCTTGGAACACAGTGAACACTAAAAAATTACCTATGACAACCATGAGCATGCCAAAAACCTGAGACACTTTAGAGAGACAGATGCTGGGCTTGCATTTAATTTTAGACTTCATTTTCTTCATATCTTGTAAGGTTATTGCACTGAAATCTTAAGTGGCTTATTCACTGAGAGTAGTATAACATTCTTTTTGATTTCCTCTGTTCCATGATAGTTTATTTATTTCCCCAAATCTGCACAGAAAAATCAAAGTAATGGCACTTGGGGCTTTGATATACTTATGTTGGACAACAGGAAATTTAGCAAGCACTGGGAGGAGTATTTCTAGCAACATCCTCATGCCACACGTAGTGCAATTTAATTAAAAGCAATCTTTCGTGAGAGTCCATTCAAAAATGATGCCCCTAAGCTGCTGTGGGGGTAGAAAAACTGTAATTTAGATGTCACACAAAAGACAGATGTTCACTCATTAAGAAGTCCATTAGCACACTTGGGGAAAAGTAGGGACATTTTCTATGCTCTCTGAAAATTAGGGAAGTGCTTCAAAGCTGGGCACTGAATATATTATTCACCTTTGAAAAGGCAATTCCAGGGGATCAAAGAGCCAGCGCTAACACTCAGTCTTTTTTTGAAAATTAATCAAAGCTCGAAGAATTGGCTGAATTCATTGACAAGATGAGAAGGCTTCAAGAACTTGAAGGCTCTTTCCAGTGATCTGTTTCACTTCCCATGCCCTGCAATCCTAAAGCCTCACAAACAGGTTTTACGTCAAGTACATAAATCATTGACTGAGAATATTCATCACTGTTCTTTCTGCCTCTGCCTCCTCAGCTTACATTCACTCAGATCCCATCTCAGATATGCTCTGAAATTAATCCTGTACTCCCAGTTCCCTCTGTCTGTGCTTCCCCAGCTCCTCTGATATGACTCTGATGCCTGAATATTTTAGTTCTCCCTCACACAGAGTTGTCTGCCATTCCTGTCACACACGGACTCATGCCTTGGAGTGTGGAAACCCAGGGCACTGGGAATATTTCTGTGCCTGCTCTGGGGTGCCCTGACCCCCAGGGGAGCACTGACTCTGATCCTCATCCATGGAGAAAGTTTCCTGGACTTCAAGATAGACCAGAACCCACAAAAGTGTGAAATAGATTATGGAGAGCAGTGTGGGTGTGTCACTTGGTGAGACATTTAGGTTTGGGATTTTTAGTATGTTGTGGATGGAAGCAAGATGGAGAGCACAGGGTGCTGTCCTGGGTTTCTTCTTCATGCTGCTTCTTCCTTCTTCTTCCTGGGTTTGGATGGCATTTTGTACTTGGGCAGAAAAGTCCACATTGGGGCTCTTTGGGATCAGTTATTGGGTTAAAAGGGAAAATAATCTAGGTGTCAGTTCTTAATTGGATAGTTTACTCTTAAAAGACCTTGGAACAAGAGATTGTGGCCATTTTGTGCCTTCTCACGAAAAGCTGCAAAACTCACAATAGTGAGACTGTTTTACTGATAAGGAATAATAAACACCTGAGTAAAACATGAAACTACCATCTTAAGTGCCTTCAATCCAGACCCAGAGAAACTGATATTGGAGGATTAAAACTCACCTGGTATTTTAGAATACAGAAAAGCACAGCAAAGACAACTCCTGCATCCCCATTTTTAAGTGTGGAATTAAGTGTTCGGTTAGTCTTGAAAGTTGGCCAGGATTGCCAAAGACATCAGGCAGGAGAATCAGCATATGCTTTGAAATACACACATTTTTTCAGTGAAATTTTGATGGGCAAGAAGGGCTTTTAGGATGGAGGAAGTCTCATGGAAAAAAGCAAAAAGTTGAAGACAGGCTGAATAACAGACAAAGAAAACCTCAGCCTTTTTCATAAACTTTCTAGTCTGTTGAATGTGTCTCATCTAAACCATTCATCTGCTGAATTCCTTCTTAAAAAGCCAAGTGCCAATTAAAAATCTTTGAGACTGGGGAGTGCAGGACACTGAGGACAATTTTCCTATGTGCTTTGGAGGGGTCTGGGCCCCATCCTGAGCTCCATGAGCTCCTGTCCATTTCATACCACATTCCCAGTCTCTGCCCAAAAACCCTCCTGTCCAAGCCCTGGCCTATGAGTAATTTTTGGATATTTATAATGCCATATGCAGAGTGTTGTGTCCTGTCAGAAAACAAGAAAGAATAAAAAAATAAAGACTTCTTACGCAGTAAAAATAGTCAGCTCAACTGCTCTGAGCTCAGTTGCATCCATTTAGGTTTTTTTCCACCATCCCCAAGCCATGTTTGCCACTTTGGGCTCTGGAGACCCCAGCAGCGACAGAACTCCAGTGCCCAGCCCTAAATTCAGCTCTCACACCAAGTCCTGCCCTCAGCCTCCAGCTCTGACACCATCCTGATCCCAGAAGCTTCCAACCCCCAAGCTAAAGCCTCATTTCCAATCCTTCTCTTCAGATTATTTCACGAGTCTTTTTGGCTGAAAATGACTACCTAGAGGATATTTTCTGCGTTTGTTTTCTGCCTCTAACTCGATTACCTATGGAAGAAGAGAAGCTGAGACACTGATTGCCTCACAGTCATTTAGAGGAACATATTTACATATTTTCAATATTGTTTTCAAGACATTGAAGCAATTCTTGAATGCTCCTCTGTGGATTGGACTGTATTTATATGACTGTGTTTAACTGCATGACCTTACAGAGAACAGCACTTGCTAAACATATTTATCCATTTATATCATTATATTTATTCACTCATAGGTATTCTTTATGAGACAACACAAACAATTTATTTTGTTTATAAATGCTGTGTAATTAGTATTACCTTGAGAAAAATTAATTTATCAGCGCTCTGCTAAATTGGGTAGAGCATTTAATTATTACAAATGCTTGAAGAATAACAGAACACTAATAACTGATCCCCATTTTCTGCATTGCAAGTATCCCTGTAAATTAAAGAGAAATTTCTTCTTTTTGGTATCATTTTTTTGCCTGCAGGAGGGATTCATGTCATCTAATCCCAAAGTCCTGAAACCTGGAAGTCAAAGTCCTACAGCAAGTTCATTTAATTGATCTGTATTCTTGGAGTGCTTCCATCTCTTCCCAGCAATACTGAAGAAGGCTCAATGAGTAGCTTTAGACCAGATTCCTAATTTTAGACAGTTAATTGTAGATGATTAATATAAATTCCCCCATCAAGCCTCCCTTAATGATCAGTGAAAGCAGACAAGCAGCTCCAGGGAAGGATTCCTCCTACTTTGCTCAGACACCTGTTTGAGGACAGTGACTGCCTGTACAGGAGCCTGTCTCCCTTCATTAACTCCCTCCAGGCTTAAAAAAAATTTAAAACACATTATCCCACACATCCAGCCCCCCAAGGAGAGGAATTGAAGGTCTGCAGGGACCAGGCTGATAGAGGAAGCACAAATTAAACACGGAAATGGAGACACACAGGTTTGTTTTACTGGGAGCTCAGCATCTTGCCGTGGGTTTGGATCTCTATGTCCACAATTCTTTATTGTTTTCTTTTATATTTGTTTATAATATTTATTATTATTCAGCACAATACTTTGCTGAAGGGATTGTACAGCTCAGTGGTGACCCACCTGTGTTTCCACTCTCACCTCCATTCATCAGATCAGACCAAAGCCCTTCCCAGAAATGGGAAATGTAGGTGTTTGGAGAGGAAAGCAGTTTAGCACAGCAGGAAGAGCAGTGAAGGCAGAGTCTTTGCTGCTCTTTGTCCTCTTCTTCCTGAGACTCTGCAGTCTTTAAGGCATGAAAAGTCATTTTTAGGCATTTCAGCCTCCTCTGCTCTCTGTTCCTTGTCACTTACCAGTGAATGGTAATTCTTTTATTGTCAAGGACTCTATTCTGCAAGGCACAAATACATCCCTGTGGAGCTGACAGGAGGTAACAGTACCGAGCTCCACAGAGGAAGTTTTCAGGATTAGCCCTCTGCTTTATTTTCATATCTGATTCATTACTTATTTGCAGAATGCATACAGGAATTATTTCTCTGCTCAGACATGAAACAGGAAGGGATTATTTCCTCAGTACATCCTAGGGGTCTCAGGCCTTCCCTGGCCCACTGAACATGCAAGGAGACCTAGACTGAGACACAAACCCCACTGACATTCAGAGCACTGCCTCTCACATGGAGCTGATGTTCATATTTTGAGGCCAAAAGCTGTGTAGATCACGCAGTTTATAGAATTCCTCTTGTTATGGGCACAGCCTGCTGCAATATGCTGCAGTATTAAAATGATGTATGGCAGGCCCCAGATGTGCACAATCCATCACTTTGGATCAGCTCCACTCTGCTGACAGCTGCAAGAATGAGCTGTGCCTCCTTTAGGTGTAAAAAAGGCTGGCCCAGATGCCAAAATCACTTTACCTGCAGCAGTCTAAGCCTTTAGGCTGCCTGGTTTTGCATGGAAGAACAGCATTACACACAATAATAGCTGCACTGGTGAGGTTTGCCTTGCAAGGACCCCCAAGATATCCCTTGTGCATAAATCTGTGTAAATACAGAGGAAATTACAAGATCCAGGGGTTGTGCAGGTGTGAAAATTTACATCCCATCTCCCACTATTTGGACATGAAAGGTCAGGATCAGTCTGTCCTTTAGGCTTTCACAGTTACCCACAGAGGAAGGCAGGCCCTAGAGAAACACCCACTGCATCTGGCTTTCTCAGGACAAGATGGAATGTTTCCTGGGAAGGTGACTCTCTCCTTCCTGACTCCTGCTGAATCCCTGCCCACGCTGAACACTTCACTGTGAAATGAGTAAAGTTTGAATTAACGAGTCCCTGGTAATCACACTCAGAGGAAAGGTTCCAAACTCTTCCCTGAGTCTGACCATTGAGGGCAAAGAAGAGAAATTTCTGAGCTTGGATTTGCAGTAATTTTTGTTAAGCATCCCAGGCAATGCCAGTAGTGGAGTGTGGAGATCAGGGAGGATTGTGCCTGGATTGTGTCCCTGTGCTCATCCATCTTCCCTGGTGTCCAGTGGCACAGGCTCACCTGCTGCCCTCAGTGCACACAGACACGAGACAGTTCATGCTCCCGCTTGGTGATATTAGAAACCTCCAGCTCTGAAAACATCCCTGCCCTCCCAGAGAGGTAACTGTCCCCATCCATCAGCAGGAACTACTCCTTTCTAGCTATCCTTGTCCTGCAAAGTTGCCTTTTTCAGGACAGCTGGGACAGCGACCTGTCCCCTCCTGTCTGTCTAAAGCCCTGCCACAGCCGTTCTGATTTGGGGATGCTCTTCTGTCCTCTGCAAACTGCAGTTCTAAAGAACAGAAAAGTCATTTATTAACAGCATCTTGAGGCTGGAAATTTTTAATGAAAGGAGCTCGGTCAACACATTCACTCAGGGATATTTTTTTTTTCTTTCCTTCCCTCTAACATCTCTGCCTCATTTTATATTTTTCTTCTTAATCTTTCCTTGTTTTTCTTTCTTTCTGCCCGGCTCCCCATTAGGAGAAAAGTTACCCAGCTCCTGCTGACTTTCCCCCACCCCGGCTGCGGTGGGGCAGCAGCAGCGGAGCCATCCAGCTGTGCCCGGGCTCCAGATGTGCGCTCCCCCCGCCCCAGCGGTTCTCACTCACCAGCGGCAGCAGCAGCCAGCGCAAAGTTCGCATCCTCCGCAGCAGCCGCCGGCTCCTGCCGCTGCCTCTGCCTGTTGTGATGCTGCCAAAAGCCGAGGCTCTGCCCGCCCCCACCTGCCCAAGGCCCGCCCCGAGAGCCCCGAAGCTCCCTGAGCATCCCCCCGCGGGATGGGAGCGGAGGGAAAAGGATTCTCCTGTGTGGAATCCCAGAGCACCGGGAATATTCCTCTGTCTGCTCTGGGGTGCCCTGACCCCCAGGGGAGCACTGACTCTGATCCTCATCCATGGAGAAAGTTTCCTTGACTTCAAGATAGACCAGAACCCACAAAAGTGTGAAATAGATTATGGAGAGCAGTGTAGGTGTGTCACCTGGTGAGAAATTTAGGGTTTGGGATTTCAGTATGTTGTGGATGGGAGCAAGATGGAGGGCACAGGGTGCTGTCCTGGGTTTCTTCTTCATGCTGCTTCTTCCTTCTTCTTCCTGGGTTTGGGTGGCATTTTGTACTTGGGCAGAAAAGTCCACAGTGGGGCTCTTTGGGATCAGTTATTGGGTTAAAAGGGAAAATAATCTAGGTGTCAGTTCTTAATTGGATAGTTTAGTCTTAAAAGACCTTGGAACCAGAGATTGTGGCCATTTTGTGCCTTCTGATGAAAAGCTGAACTCTCAAAGTGAGATTGTTTTACTGATAAGAAATAATAAACACCTGAATAAAACATGAAATACTGCCTCAAGTGCCCTCAATCCAGACCCAGAGAAACTGATACCCCGGGGTGTTGGATTCACCTTTGTGCACCTGGCCAGTGCAAAATGATGAACATGTCCCAGAAAAACAAGCAAAGCAGGGAGCTGGGACACTAGTGTGGGTTTTGGGGTGGTTTTGGAAGCAGGAATTCTCTATGCTGCGTTCACCCCTCCTGGTTTTACAAGGATTTGGGTCTGAGTGGGTCTGGCAGTGTGGGATTCCCTTTGGGACTGTCAGAGATGGAGTTTCTGGGTTTTTGCATCCCCATCCTCACAGACGGGAAAGTTTGTGCAATGGCAGAAGTTCCTCCACAACTTGAACAAGATATTTTGGCCCTTGTATCACAAAGGTGTCTTGGGTTCAGGTTTATTTCTTGGTGCTAAGAAAGTTCAAGCTTTTCTTGCCTACAGATTAGATTTTTTGGGGAAAAAAATAAATTTAAGTGTCAGGTTCTTAGGGCCAAGGCACCAGCTCTGGCTTTTGCCCCACTGAATATTGCACCAAGATATCTTCAGGACCTGAGAGAATGAAAATTATGAACATAGCAATTTTCCTTGGTAAGACTGAACTGCTGTTTCATATCCTGTTTATCATTCATTAGTTCCCAGTGGTGTTAAGCACATAAGTTCTGTACAGTGAGAGGAGATTCAGGGCTTGCTTAAGTTACCCCAAAATAGGAATTCAATGCCACTAGAAAAAATACTTATTTCTGCAGCTTTCTCCATAGGTGTACAGCTCTCCTACAAGTCCTGTGTCTGGTTTTCCAGCTCCACCTAAATATTTCAGATATACATATATAACATTTGTAACTAAATTCTCATTTAATCTGCTCTTTTCTATATGTTTGTCTTTCATTACTGCAAAATGGCATCTGATTCCTGACCTGCACAGCCTCAGATGTTACTCCAAAAATCAGATTTGTGAGAAAATAAAGTGATTAAACCTTAGGGGAAAAAAAAAATTAAAGTCTGATTTTGACTCTTTCCCCATCTGTAATGGATAAGTTAAAACTGTGGCCATTTTCACTAGTCAGCAAGGTGGTTCCTGTCACATTGGAATACTTTTTAGGATCCCATTACAAGGCAGGCAACACAGAGTGTCAGGCAGTTCCTACTTCTAATGCAAAGGAAAACGCAGAGTGCAGACCTGTCAAACACCCCCAGGACAGGAACAGTTCACAATCCCTGCTGAACTTTATCCAACCAACTCAAATATCCAAGATCAGAGAATAACAGAATAATTTGGGTCAGGGGATGGAGCTCTGGCCCCAACCCTCTCCTCTCACAACTGAAATTTCACGGTCAGGAATTTGTGTTTCAAAGGGAATTGCTCTCAGGAGCCACACTGTAAACACAAAAATGCCACTGAAAGAACACGTGTGGCATTCCAGCCTCCAATATTTCACCTGGATTCTATTATTTAATGCCTTGAAGGTCACTTAAACGAGGTTTTTTTAGGTCATCACCACCAGCTTGGAGCAAACCCAAGTGTGAACCACTTTTTTTTTTAAATTTTTTTTAATGTAGTTTTTTGCTATGGGTATTTGCAAGCAGTTTTTAGGAGAAGGCATTGCCTGATGGAGCAGACCTGATCTCTCAATATTTGCTTTCTCATACATTTTCTCTCCTCCATCTGCTTTTCCTATCTCATCTCCAGCTGATCAAAAAAGCAGTCCATGTTCCCATCCTTGAGATTTAAATTAATTACCTGGCAATTCCTCTTGTAAGAATATTTTTCCATCCTAATAAGGAAATCAAGCCTGTTTTTATTGGGTTTTTGAAACATCTCACTGTAGTTAATGTTATAAACCTCACCTACATTAAAGTCTCTTATTTCATCACTCTTCTCACATCTCTTCATTATTTTAAACAGATGCTTAAAACCTTATTTAGTCTAAAAACTAATTTCTGTTCATCATATTAATTTGCATTATTCATTTTACTTTTTGCTGTTTCTCTGTATGTACCCAAAGCTCCAATAACAAAAAATGCAGGGAAAAAAATCATACTTATTTCTCATAATATTTTCATATGCTCTGATGCATTTTGCTACATTTTGTCACAAAATAGATTCCTGCCTCCTAAGCTGCCTCTAACTAAGCATTATTATTTTATTTTCTCCAATAATTACAGGATAACTAATCAAAGAATAGAACCACCTTTGTTTTCCTGCTGCTCCACAACATCAGCCTGGGCTCAGAATTCAACAGATGTGCATAAAAACCTCCTCTTGTTAACAACAACAAGCCATTGTGTTGGTATGAAACTTAATCAATGAGGCAACAGACCTGAGATTCCTCCTAATCCCTCTCATGGATATTCTGAATCAATTGGTGCCATTTAATGAAAATTACTTGACATTTGCTGAGCTGCTGAGCACCTTTGTGGAAGCTGGAGAATGGGGTTTCGATACCATATGTTACCTGAAAATGGGTTTTTCATAATAAAAATCTTCCCGAAACACACCTGAATTTCTTCCAGCAGCACTTCAGGCTGGAAAATGGGATGTCTTAGCCCCATGCTGCAGCATGAGCCATCAGCCAGAGCATAAAGGTGAATTTACTGACATTTCTAAACAATCTTGTGACAAATCTGACTAAAGATGCAAAACAAAAAGCCCTGGGATTAGGAGAAGGAGGCTGCAATTACAGAGAGTACATAATTCAGTGCTCAGGCAGAACATGGTGTTACTGAGAAACATATTGTGACTTTAATTAACACCAAAACTTCACGGTCTTTAGGAAAAGGAGGGTATAAAAAAAACGTTGGAGGTTTTATTCCTGACAGTGATCTCTGTGGGGTGTTTCAGACAGAGGGGTGAGAGCAGGGAAATCAAACAACTGAAGGCAAAAGGCCGGCTTTGAGATACTAAAAAGGGATGGCACTAAATATCAGACAGGTGCCTGGAGCTGCATGAGGATAATTTGTCCAGCTGATGTTCTCTGTAAGCCCTCCCTGTGTTATCTCCTCACTGTTTTCCTTGGATAAAACTGACTCCTGCCATGTCCTGGGGCTCTGACTCCGTATGTGCCCATATTCTGTTACTCAGCCTGGCCCCAGGGACACCTGGGACACAAAATAAAGACAAAAATTACAGACCCTTGGATTACATGGATTCTGTCCTACCTGTTTGATCTGTAAATTTAATTTAATCCAAGTATCTGAAGCACTTGGTGAATTTGAAAAACATATCTTGACTTGTACTCGTCTTCCACAAATATATCATTTAACTCCTTTAAAAATAAACTCCTTTAATCTTTTCAGCATTGAAAAAAACAAATCTGTCAGCAATCCCTTCTCTACTTCCATTGTATTTTATTCAAGAATAAGCAAGTTATTTTTCCCAACCTAAGGGAAGTTGCTTTTCCCAGTGACACACAATGAAATCTTCATTCCTATTAATAGTCTCTAAAGAGTTGACAGACCAGCTGTTCCTGTCTCAGAAATTGTTTTATGCATTGTATTATTCATTGGTTTTCTTGCTTTCCTCTGGCCACTTCAACTCAATTTCAATTCTGTTTCTTTTCCAAGAGAAGGAGAACAACCCTGATTTTTATTCACTAAAATGCAGGTTTAAGACTAAGCTTTCTCCCTTCCTAAGGGCAAAGAAAATATTCATGTTTCTCCTAGGTATAGACTGAGCCTATAAAATTCAATTTGGGTAAACAGGAATAAGCTATTTTTAACAACACTGAAGTCTAGTTACTGGTGTATACTAGTCTTTGTTTCTTTTATGTTTAAAAGAGAGAGTCATGGAATTCCAGGATGGTTTGGTGTCTTGGTTTGAAAAGACAGGTGTCTGCCTTCAAGGCAGGAGCCTCCCTTGAAATGGAAAATGTAAATCCCCTCCCTCCAAATTATTATAATTTTAAAATTAAGGGGCTCTCAGGCAAAGATATGGGAATAGGAATAACAGTTATTTACTAGGGAAAAAACCAGAAATGCAGTAATACAAAACAATGCTGCCAGAGTGAGAGCAGGAGCTGAGCCCTGTGGGTCAGGGTGGTGGCACAGTCCCATCCCATGGGGGCTCAGCCCTCCTGCAGTGCCAGCTGTGCTTCTGCTGGAGCAGGGATCCTGCACAAGGCTGCAGTTTTCCTCTGCAGCTCCAGGGCTGCTGGAGATGGGCCTGCTCTTCCTCTGGGAATGCAGGGCAGGAGAAAGCTGCTCCTCTGGGAATGCAGTGGGCAAAGGCTGCTGTGCTGTTCCAGGCTCAGATTGTATCCAGGTAGGAATGCTTGGCTCCTGCCCTGGGCAGAGCATCTCCCCATGGGATGCTGGAATTTGATCAGCCCTGCAGGGACACTCAGTGGCCATGGACAGCAGAGATCTCCTGGAGGGAGGATTGGCTGTGGGAGAGATAAAGAAAAAACTGCCCCATGAACAGAGGAGAACTGCCCCACCTCTGACAGATGGTGACAGAATACACACTCCAGCCACATCTTGCAACCCCATGACATTTGCGTTGGCAGGAATCTTAAAACTGATCTCATTCCACACCCCTGCCATGGTAGGGACACCTCCCACTATCCCAGGCTGC